CATTTAAACCTTCTTATTTTGGGAAAAATAATTTTCAATTTCGTCAAAAACTATTAGACTCAATGATCTTTTCATATTATATGCCCTCAAAGGCTTCTAAAATGTTGTACTTTATAACCACTAGACTCATGCAATTTGAACAAATTTCACCTTACAAAATCTCTTATACCAATTAAGGATGTTATCCCCCATGAGACATATAAATTGTTCTTTCCTTAGTGTAGAGTCTATATTCATAAATCAAAATCTTATGTAAGTGCATTTTTTTATCTTTGAGATTCGTTTCCCTAAGTATGAGTAGAAAATGTATAATTGTAGGTTTTGCGATAGTAAAAGAACTAGATGAACAAAATAAACAACAAGCTAACATAAGGAAACACTAAATTCAAAATAATGGCTAATTCTCATATCAAGATACCAAACATTACATTGATACCAAGTCTTTGGATAGTAATACTAACAACAAATGATACTCTTGTTGTAGAAATCAAACATTGACAATAAACTATATTCGAATAAAAGACTAATATTATTTATTAATAAAATAATACTAATATTTTTAAAATATTAGAATATTTAATATAATATTGCTTATGCCAATATTTTTATTAAAATATTATATCTATTATTTTAAAAATAAAAATATTAAGATTATTATATTTTATTAAATTTTTTTATAAATTATATTAATTATTTATTAAAATGAGAATAATATATTACTAATTATATTAATTACTTATTAAAATGTTAATATTATTAAAATATTAAAATTATAATATTAAAATAACAATATAATATTATATTTTAAAGAATATATTTTTCATATTCAATAATTCTATAATATTATTTTTATGAAATTAATAAATAAAATTATTTTTATTAATAATTTATTATATATTATTAAAATAAAAGTATAACATTATATATTATAATAATATAATTATAAAAATAAAAATAAAATAATATATTATTAAAATTATTAATAAATATTATTTAATATTTAATATTTTTATTCGAATGATACTAAAATAATATATTAATATTAAATATATAAAATAATAATGTTTTGGGTGTTTATGCTTTCAAGTGAAAAGTTTGTAAAATGACTTATGAAAAATCAGACCGTAAGTTATTTTTCAGAAAAAGCAAATGAAATTCAGTTGATCAGAAAAATGAATTATATTGACCATCTATTTTTTGCCAACCAAACACTAGAAAATGAGGAAATCATTTTATGGAAAACCAATTATATGGACACAAAAAGACCCTAGGTGGTTAGGATATACTTACACTATGTAAAACTCATAAACTTTACACCAATTTTTAGCCATTAGATTTAAATAAACAAATAGTTTAGATTAAATTAAAATTTATAAACCATAAATAAATATTTCTTTAAATCACAGTAAAACATTATATATTTTTCTATCAATATATTTTTCTTTTTAGGGTTAAGGTTTATAATTTAGGGTTTAGGTTTAATTAGATTTAAATAAATAAATGGCTTAGATTTAATCCATAAATAAATATTTCTTTAACTCACAGTAAAAAATATTTTTTCCTTTTTATAGGATTATGGTTTACAATTTAGGTTTTAAGATTTAAGCTTTATGGTTTATACTTTATAATTTTGGGTTTGAGTTTAAGGTTTATAATTTAGGGGTTTAGGGTTTGAGTTTATGGTTAGGTTTGGGTTTATGGTTTAGAATTTGGGATTGGAGTACATATTATTTTAATGTGATTTAAAAGATATTTATAGCCAATTTATATGAGCAAGGTCCGCTTGCACTATGTAAAACTAACAAGTTTTATACCAATTTATAGTCATTAGATTTAAATAAATAAATGACTTAGATTTAATTAAAATTTATACACCATACCAAAAATAAATATCTTTTAAATCACAATAAAACAATATCACGTTTACCATAATCTAAAATCCTAAACCTATAATCTCAAATCTTAAAATCCTATACAAACCTCAAATCGTTAACCCTAAATCCAAACCCTAATCTTAAAAATATTTTTTATTGTGAATTAAAGAAATATTTATTTATGATTTATAAATTTTAATTTAATCTCATCCATTTATTTTTAAATCTATTGGCTATAAATTAATACAAAACTTACTAGTTTTACATAATGTTAGTGGATCCTAACTATATATATATATATATATATATATATATATATATATATATATATATATATATATATATATATATATATATATATATATATATATATATATATTGGAGGGCTAATTTATGAATTAAGCCCTATAACAAATAAATTTAATAAAACACACAATTTTCATTAGAACGTGAATAAATTCAAAGTAAAATTTTCAAAATTAAACAACGATTTTGATTCAATGTGTAATGTACTAAATTTTAATTTGTTAATTTGTATTGATAAAATTCTTATTTTCATCTAGTTTTTAAATTTATATATTGAATATATAAATAATTATATTTTATAAACTGAAATATTATTTATTTTACTTTTATATGTTTATTTTTTTAAGTTACAAATACAAGTATAATCATATTTTCATTAAGGATGTCATGATCCCAATCTTACTATTGAACAAGGTCTCGTTAACTTTTAATGTGTATGGTTGATCAAAATTAAATTTTTCATAAGTATAAATTGTATCAAAACAAAATTTATGTATGCAAAACGATCAACACTTTAATATAATTTTAGCGTTTAACTTTAAATGGAAGACAGGAGTGGGAATTCAGGATGAACACATGATTTTAAGTTAGGGAGGTGAACTTGAAGTTATAAAATTTCATAAGGTGAACTTGAACTTATAAAATTTTAGAGGACGAAAACAAATTTTTAATAAAAAATACATAAAAAAAATATATAAAATATATGATGATTTTAGATTTGTAGGGACAACTGCCTTACCCACCCGTTCCCCTAGGACTACACGCTCCCCTAGGCGTATCACTAGGTGGGATGGCCCAAATACAATGAGATGCCAACTATGCAAAGATGACATTAAATGAACATGAACTCCATGTGGATTGTGATTGACATTAATTATTCCTTAATTTTAAATTAAAATGCTCACATGCCTAACTACCCATACAAATGAGCATCACCCAACAAACATGCAAAATAGAAACACCTCCCTCCAGTGCGATCATCTCCTTTTGGTTAATAATGGCAACTTAAATAATATTTTTTTCAGGTCATTTTTAGTAGTTGACAACTCATATACCTCTTATAAATCTAACTGCTCAAATCTAAAATTTCTAAAGAAAATAATTCTCTTTTTAACCACTACGGTAATAAATTCAGAACATAAAATATATTTAAAGTAAAAGATTGAATATAAATTTTATTACTTAATTTTAAAATTTATACAAATTTGAGAATTAATTTAACCTAAAAAAGTTTAAATATCAAAATTTAATTTATATAATTTAAAACTTATAAAAACTTAAGATGTAATTGAACTCAAAATTTGATCTCTCGTGACTCCGTCGTAACAATGAGTGGTAAATGGCATGTTTCTTTATTTCAATCCATTCATAATACATTTCCATAAAAATCCATAAGAAATTGAATCTCTTTTTTTTTCATTTTCTTTTTAAGAATAAAATTCGAGCTATCTAAATTCTAAAATTGAGGTTATAATAATTTTTAAAAATCCCATAAATTTTACAATTTTATGTTCGACAAACATTGGTTTGATTATATCCGAAGCTTTTGAACTATTGTAAAAAAATTGAGTTATAGTAGTAAAATTTATTCTAATATTTAATAAATATCCACTTTGATTTTTATTTTATTTTTTTATATTTTTACCCTGCCATTTTATTTTTAAAATAAAACATCTTTCAATTCGATGAAAATTATTGATTAATTAACTGTCAATGTTAATTGTTAATGTGAAACGTATCATGTTATCATATATATAGTATGTACCGTATCATTACTTTTAAATATAATAAATATTAAAAACAATTTTTCCAGCACTTTCAAAAGAATTGTTATAAAAGCTTGTGATTTAGTCATTTAGACAGATTAACACAAACAAAATAAAAATGGGGGTGTGAAGATGTTGAGGCCTTGAACTTGAGGGTAGACGTTTGAGGAAGTCCCTTTGTAACATGGCATCATAAATTTATTATTATTTGGTAGAGAGCTTGAAAAGGACCACCCCTACATTTCCATGTGACAAATGCCGAACCCGTCCCCTCATTGCCTCAACATTTTTGTCAACACCCATAATTCAACCTTTCCCTCTTATTTAATTAGTTCTATTTATCTATTATAAATAAGCTAAGGTGATTATAAATTTATATATGTTTTTAATTATTTAATAATAAATATTTAATCACTCTATTATGGTTGTTGATATTTTAACTCGTGAGCTCTAGAAAAAAACAATCATTCTTTTAACTATTAAAGTAATTTGAATCTTACTGATGTATTGATTTCTTAATATAAGATGTATGATAAATACCAAATACGAAATTTAGTTCACTCGTTTAAATAGATCCTACTACCTTAATTTATGACTACTTCCACTCGTTTAAATAGATCCTACTACCTTAATTTATGACTACTTCCAATCGTAGACTTGATTTTGATGGGGAAGTTTACCTAAAATAAACTCTTAAAGTCTTTTTGCAATGAAATAAAATAATAATTATTCTTTAAAGTAATGCATAGTTAAATAACCATTAAGCATGCCTATAAACATGAATGAGCTAAATCTATAAAGGAAGATATATTGTTGAATAGAACTTGCATCGTAATCAAGGATGAAAGTACCCCTTCTTTTAAGAAATCGAAATTTAGAGATCCAAAAATTTTAAAAACAACTAAAAAGAAACGAAATGAAGAGTAAACACCAAGGAAACAGAACTTTGAAAATTAAAGAAAAATCATCCACTATTCATTGAAAATTATTTCTTATTTAATTGTAAATTTTGCTATCTTTTTTTCTTCTCACATCAATATATTTATCCATTTAATCCATAGCAAAATGTACAATGTCCTGCACCTATATATATATAGCAAAAGAAAATTAAAATATAAACGGCGTCAAATAAAAAAGCCAGGGAAAGAGATTTAATATGGATGTAATCAAACGATGTACTTAACGGCGTTTCCTTCTTCTTCCTCGGCCACCCTCATTCTCAGACGCTAACACTGCACCTAGTCACAAACTGATACTTGATAGCGTTTTCTCCGACCATAACGCCGGTGCTTGTGCTCCCGAAGGTGATATAAGCCGGACACCGAACGTAAAGATGATATCTCCCGGAGATGAAACTTCCAACTTTCCATCTCACCCGTCCGTCAATCTTGATCATCAAGAAAACCGACCCGGTAGCCTGTTGCATTCCCAAGCTGGCGGAGAATTCCGGGGCGATGGGAACGGAGTTTCCGTTGATGAAAGGGGACCAAACGTTGATCTCTTTGTGACCCTGGTACGTCGGAGGGATGGAGGTTCGGAGGGTAATTTGTTGGTTGTTGTAAGTGGCGTAAACGTAGAGGCGGTCGTAGTAAATGCCGATCCTGTCGTTGGGGTTTCGAGAAGACAGAGTGAGCTGGAAATTGGAGGTGAGGAGGTTGGGGGTGGAGGCGTTGAAAGCGTAGACGGTGGTGTCTTGGAGGATGAACCTGGGCTTGTTGGGACGAAGGATTGCCCAGATGAGCAGAATTGTTATGAGGACGATCATGAGGAAGATTAGGATGCCGGCGATGATTCGCCGGAAGATTTTTCGGCGGTGTTCACCGTGGTGGCCGCACTCTTTCACCGACATCGTTGATGGGAAGAGTGAAGATGAAAGTTCGGATGAGAGAAAGAAGACGAGGATTGGAAAACAGAGGAAGGAGCTCTTTGTTTGTGTTTGTGTTTGTGTTTGTGTAATGAAAGGAACACCGATGTGTGAAAGAAGTGGGGTTATTTATAGTTTGAAAACAAAAGAAATGGGATTATTTTTATTTTTTAAATATAATTAAAGAATAATGACAATGTTATAACCTTATTCATAAATATTTTATGGATAATTTATAAATTTTTATATAAATTCTAATTGGATTTTAAATATGTCATGACCTTAGATTGAGAGAGTCTTCTTTAACCAAAATTTTAAGGTATAAAAAAAGGATAAATACGATGAAGACGTATGGATGATGAATGGTGATATAAAAATTATATGAGGAAATTAAATCATAATGTTTTTATTTGAACAAATGTTTGTCAAGCTAGTGATTTCCATTTCTTTTTATTATTATTGTTATTGTATTTATGGATAAAGCCCAAAAATTTATAAATGTTTGTTATTTTCTCTAAATAGAATTAAAATTATATGAATCGGTTTATCTTAATGGTTAAAAGAATCATTATTATTTCTTTAGATATTATAGGTTCGAATATCAACGACTACAGTAGGATGATTGAGCTTTTATTATCAAATTATTGATATTATTTAGAACGTATACTGACTTTTAATCACCTTTGTTTAATAAAAAATAAAATTATATTTGGAATTTATTAAAATAATAAAAATATATTAATTTTTTTAGAATATACGAGTTTAAAAGAGAGAAATTGTTGCAATAATTGAGTGATGAAATTCTACGAAGTCTTTATAAATAAGCCTTGACGCAATAGAGGGGAGCTCCATGTGGATTTTTCGTTCATCAAAACGCAGAAAGTCCAAAAAGAACGAGAAAGAAATGAAATAGAAAAACCTTGCAAATTTGAAAAGAAAGGGAAGCATTAACGAGTTAGGAGTGACACGTTTTCATGACAGCCCAAGACCCCCAAGTCTTCCACCGACTTTCTTTTGAGGTTCCAGTGTTTACACTCAATCCCCTTTGTCACCACCTTCTTAGTACTTTCAAATTTTCATTTATTTGTTTTCTAAAAAAATTAATTTTGTAATTTAAAATTTATTTTAATATATTGATAAATTGCAAGTGCGTTGCATTTGTAATAATAAAATATCTGAAATAAAATTGAAGTCAATAATTACTCTTCGAATCTCACTATCATTATTTTTAGTGGACAATCTATAAAATCATATATAAATCGGTTCCCCCAATCGACCTAAACTTTGTGTAAAAAAAATTATCTTGTTAAAGGTTCTCCTAAAAAGTGAAGAAAAATGAAACATTACACTTTGCCCTTTTTACTCTTTTTATTTTTCTATGAATATTAAAGGTTTGAAAGTGAATTACCTTTATGAAAATACTATATTTATACTTTTTCTCCTTTTTTTTGAACGAATAATATTTTGAAGATGTTTATTTTCTAACTGAATATTTAAAAATATTTAATTTTTAAATATAACTTAAAAAATACGTGCCATTTTATAAATCTGCACTATACTGTTTAAAAAATATACTATAAAAAAAATTTCTAACCATAAATATTTGATCAAGAAACATAATTGTATCACTCCCTATTGCTATAATGATGAATTTAATCTCAAATATATATATCTTTTCATTTTAACTTTTATCTATTTTTAAACTAAATTCGATCATTAACCTTTCAAAAAAATTGACTTTTTATGTAAAATATTGACTAGAATGTTAAATTTTTAATTCTGTTGACATGTGATTTCACGTGTCAATCCATATATATATTATGGAATTTCTTAATTTTTGAATGTTTTATAATTTTAATCCTTTATTGATATCTCATATAAAATAAACTATGTTAGTATGAAATGCATATAGACTACGACAGTTCAAAATCGTTAAAATTTAATGTTTTTAGTTAATATTTTCATTTAAAAAAATTAATTTAACTTTTTTTTTTGAAAATTTAAAAATGAAATAGAAGAGAAAAAGAAATGATTCAATGGATGACTCACACAATCACCAATCTTAAATTCGACAGTACCTAACATTTATTCTAATCTAGATATTAAAAACAAAGGGGAAGTATTAGGTGCGGCAGCCTAATATACCGGCTAAAGAAAAGAAGCTACTGAAAATATTATTATTTTTTTAATATTTTCGACAAAACCCTACATAAAATAATATTTGTTCTATCGGAATGTTAATATTGGGCGCTATCTAAACATTATTTTTTCTATCAGAAATGTTAATATTTGATGCTACCTAAAATATTATTTTTTTACCTGAAATTACCTAACGAAATTAACATTTTTGGTAAAACAAATAATGTTTTAGGTAGTGCTTTACCGGAAATGTTAAAAATATAATAATATTTTCGGTAGTGCCTTTCTTTAACCGTATATTATGTTGTGGTACGATATAACTAACCGAAACAAAGGACAAAATTAAATAGAAGAAGAAGAAGAAAGTTAAAACTTTCGTGCCCTTCATAATGTTTTAGGGAGAAAGGGTGTGTAATCTATTTCTCAAGCTAAATTATTGTTGTTCTAATTACATGAGATCACCCACCAATGTAAGCTAATTGCACCAATGTCACATATGTATGGAACTAATTACTTTAGTACCATTCGTAATGTACAAAATTTAAAGTGAACAACCTGTACTTCTTTCAAAAAGAAATTAAATGTTGCTTGGAAAAAAATGTTTAAAATCAAACCCTTCAACTTGAAGAAAAGAAGATGTAATTAGTCTTCAAGTTCATATTTATCGAGCCCTTTTTGACTCTTCTAATAAGTCTTCGCTATAAAATTTATGTATGTGATAAGTACAAAGCAATGTATGTTTAAAGATAATTTTCAATCATCTGACATTGAATGTTCACATCTTGATATTCATTGTGTTTGAACTCGAGATCTCAAATAATAACAATAATTCATGATTTAATACTCGGAGGGGTTTGTTAATTGTTAGGCTGAAATTTCAACGCTTGAAATCATGGTTTATTAACAACCCTCAATATTCATTCGACCAATAAAAAAAGAAAACGGAAATTGAGGGGAAGAAGCAAAGGGGATATCCCCATGCTGGTGGTGGGTTCAATGTACCCTTTGTTTATAGGATCGCCCAAAAGTCTGCTTTTGGGCACTGACATTTAAGCTGTTCTGATCCTTGTCTCTACGATGTCCCTACCACAAATCTTCTCTCAACCTCCTTAATCCTCTTTTGATTTTTTAATATCTTTTTAATCAACCACTTTTACTATTATTACATTGAAAAACGTTAGGTCAATTTTTTTAAAAAAAATTCTTTGTACTAGGTTAAATTCAACTTCAGAACTGAAAATACAATATTAAATGAGAAATAACTATAAATAATCAAACTATAATTAAGGAACTAAATGTGTCAAAAACACATTACTTAAAAAACTTTATTATAATATTTTTTATTAACCTAAAGTGATAATATTTGTTCGAAAGACTCTCAACTCATTTGACAATAAACGCTCAAACACTATTAATTTTCGATATTCTTAAATCTGGAATATTTAGGGACCTTAATTTTATTATAGTTTAATAAAATATTGAAAAGGTTGGAAATCATAGAATTAAGCGTGTGGAAGGAACTCTGATAGGGAATTCACCTGACACAAAACTCCAAATTAGAAGAGGAGGAGAAAAAATTGAAAGCGAAAGGAAATGATTTTTCCAGGAATATTATCAACCCACGCATACATTTATAGTATTGGAAAAGTAGTCCTTTTTCCACCTAAACTCTAAAGCATATCGAGTAATCAAGTATAGAGACATGAGTTTTGAGTGATTATAAAGGTAACAAACAATTAGTGTTACAGAAGATTTTCAAATTCAGGTTACCATTTTCAAAGGGGGTTATGCTGCTAATATTTGTCATATTTAATTATAAATAATATAATTACCATTTAAAAGATAAAAATACTCAGGAAGTCTCTTTACTATAGGATTATAAATAATATAATTATTAAATAAAGTGAATAACTTTCATCTTTATACTATTTTTTTATTAATCTAAGGTGATTACAATTGATAATATATGTTCTAAAGACTCTCAACCATTAGTTGTTGGTGTTTGAACCCAAGACCTCTAGGGATAACAATTATCCCTGTAATTACTCATGTCGTTTGATTTGTGCTAATCCCTACACTCAATGGCGGAACTTGATAATATAGTTTGAGGATGTCAACTTAAAACTTTAAAAAGATTTAGAAATTTAAATTAATTTTTTCAAAAATTTTAAAGGGTTTAATTTACATTTAAAAAAAGAATGGAGTAAATTAACTTTTTTTTTAAAAAAAAATTGGAAGTCTAAATTATAATTTTTTCAATTTTGGGAGGTCATTGAGTTCCTCTCAACCTACACTATTTCAATGCAAGTAAAAATATTTTTTGATATACAACTTTGATTTTTTTTTTTATTAATCTAGGGTGATTTACAAGTGGTAGTATCTATCTTAGAGACTTTCAATTATTTAATAATGAACGTTCAAATACCCCACAGTTGTTGGTGTTTGAACTTATGACATCTAAGAATAACATACCTTTAATTTGTGAGATAGTTTGGTTTGTGTACAACTTTGATCTTATAATTTAGTAATTAATTTGCTATATATTATGTTGTGTATGCTATAGTATATATGACATTTTATAGTATCATATAGCGTATAGTATATACTTTGGACCGGTTTTTATCATTTTTAAAGTAATAAATATATTTTTATTTAACTTTAATTACAAACACCTATATATTATATTTGATATCTTCACATATTTTTAAAATTAAAATTTCTTTTATTATTGTCATTATTGCAACACATGAAAACATAAATTCAAACGTACTTCTTTAAATATTTACACGTGATGGGAGTTGATAATGTTGTATATGTATTCACAAATATGAAAAAGAAGCAAATGTACAAGCGTTGCTTTATTAAATCCAAGTTGTTGTTTTTATTATATATTATAAAATATATACGTTAAATGTCAAAGCAAACGACGCTTTGGCCGAGTGGTTAAGGCGTGTGC